CAGTGTGGATTTTGGATTTGCGACTTTTCCTGGCTTCAGATCGAAAATGTGGACTGGGGAGCACCCGAAGATTGCGCGGGCAGTGATATCTCAGTGCAGCCCTTTGCGACTGCGTAGGCTCGAAGTTTCGCCGCGGGGCGCCAGACATCAGGGTTGCTCCGAAGCTCAAAGCACGCGACCGCCAGGGTGGAGAATTGGTATTGCATCCTTTTGTGTTCCTTTCCAAGGCACCAACATTGCTGGGGGTCTTTGCAGCAACCTGAACTGCCAGCTTAAGCAAGGAAGGGACTTGTGTGGCGTGATGCTTGCTTCGTATAGACCAAGGAGGGCTCATGGCTCATGGGCTGTTGATTTAAGTCTCGTGCTTCAGGGGCTTGGAGGATTCATGATTCAACGAATGGGACACAGATTCAGGTGGCGTTCATTGCTTTGTTTTGGCCGCTCACCGAATCCTAAGTTGATATTCAGGCTTAGACATGCTGATTTGCTCCAATGGTTGGCTTCTTGCTCTTTGCGTCATGTTATGCTTCTGAACAGGAATCGACATGGGGTCCTGGGTGAGACACATCAACTTGAAAGCTATGATGCACTGCTAATGAATTTGTCATCATTTGTGTCTAGCAGCCTGTGGGGAGCTTGCCTTTAGGCGCTACCCCCGGAAGTCCATGATTTGGAGAAAACTAAACAGCAAAGCTGACAGCATCGATGCATCCAGATAAGATTGTCTATTTAAGCTACTAGATGTGCTGAAGTGATCATCCCCTTGGCTTACCGTTTACCCACACAGAGACAATTGTACCATCTATTGTCACCCAGGCAACAGAGATGGGAGTAACTCATTCTTCAAATGCTCATGGAGACCCAGGGCACTTTGAGAGTGAGTATTGAGCTGTCTGGCCCCCTGCGGCGAGGACACAGCTTTTAAGCCACTCCACTGGCATCCGCCAGTTCTGGGGTTTGGCATAAAGTTCCTGAGACGAAGATCTCGACGACTCTCTCTAGCCCAGAGTGGTCCCTAATGCCAGGGTTCCTGATTTGAGAAAATATATGCCAGCCGTTTGGTTTGGAATCTGCAGCATGTGGCAGTCTGTCAAGGCCCCCTATGATGCAAATGAGCAGTGTCGTATTGCGCGGCTTCGGCACCTTCCAACACACGTGATGTTTGGTGTTGCTTTCTTTTTTCAGGAACTTTGGTCAGGGCATGTTGATCCTTTGGATGGTGTGTGGGCCTAAGAATGAGAGGTGTCGACGGAACGCGGCAAGTCTGATTTGAACGTTTCCGTGTCCGCTTGGCCCACTTACAGGACAATCGAGCGAACCCTGTTCCTTGCAACGGATGTGTGTTGCCCCAAATTGAGCTCACACAACATGTGGTGTTCTGTTGTTTTTACCCTCCCCAACAATCATGGAAGCTCACAGGAGGGTCTTGCAAGACTACCTTCCTTTGGGGAAGCCCTTTGTCAATTTCCATGATTGTTGGACAAAGGATACTTGACGCACAAACCAAAAGGTGAGTTTGCAATTGTGTGACCCCATGTAATGAGTGATACGTCTAGTTCTCAGTATGCAAGTGTACACGTAGTATCACGTACAACATATTAGGCCGATGTTAATGCATAAGACAAGGCTTGATCTAGTTTGGCCATGCATGTTGGCGGGTCAAGCAGCGCTGCTGCAACCAATCTGCCCTGACAACCGTTCGACGTTTGCGGAATTGCCGGACTTACTGCACACGTCTTCTCCCTGGAATGGGGGACTTTCATGGTTGTTGCGTTCCTTGAACAACATAAACAAACGCTAAGCATGTGTTGTGTTTCTCTTCAACAACCCGTATGAAACAAATACACACCCGTTTCCCGATTGACGACCCGCAGGGAACAGCTAGCATTCATTTGCTGAAGTCATGACGACTCCTGCCATGACATGTGCAGCACGTGTGGATTAAAAGCATGAAGGCCCCTTTTGTGACCCGCTTCGGCCACATTCGCGGCCTTGGTCAATGGTTCGACCGCTCCACGTCATTTCTCTTTCCATGTCCCTCTTGACAAGATCACTCTGGTAGGGTTTTCATTGGATTGTCTCCAAAAAGAGCACCCTTCCAAGAAGATTGGTGATCTTTTTTGGGTTTCCTTTTCAACACACCCAACAAGGGTAGCCTCCAGAACCAACCTGAGTCGCACTTACAGATTCCGGAACAGGGACTTGGTCCTAGCGAGTGAGCCGCACAGCGGCTTTTTTTTCAGAGTCTGATGCTGCATGTAAGCTGTGCGTAAGGCCAAAGAATGGGGCCTTGGGAGCTTCGGGTGCGGAGCACAAAGAGACTGCTGAAGGCCGGTGAAGGCTCCAAGTGGTGACTCTCAGCTTGCCTTTGCTGAAACAGAAGCCTTACATTTGCTTCAGGTTGCTTTCTTGCTTAGTTGCCTGCTCGCTTACTCGCTTACTCTCAGCGCCGGTCTTTCAGAATTGGCAAAAACTCAAAGAGGACGGGAAAGGAAGACCTGAAGGGGATGGTTTGACACTGGAGTTGCTTTACCTTCTTGATCAGCTGGTTGGCTTACGCCTGGTTCTGAACCTGGAATGACGGAATGCTCCCATGAGGATGGAGACCACTTAAAAAGACGCAGCTGGTTTTGGTTCAACTCACCACCATGACCCGGATTGTAGGCGCATGGCAGGTGTTCCGTTACGGTTATTTCGGCTGATTGGTCCGAAGGCATCTCAACCCAGGGACCCAGAGCTTTGTCGTTTTTGTATTCCCCGTTCCTATTTCGTGCAAAGCTATTACAAAGAGTGTACAGCCTTTGAATTGCATGCTCTCCAAAACGGAAGCCGTGGTAGACTGGTCTAGGGGGTTTCATGATCACGCATGGACATGTGTTGTACATGGACCTGTGTTCGTGTGCGCTTTGCCTCACCCCACCGGAGCCTTCAGGCCTCAAAGAACCCCGCTAGCAGGCAGCTGCTCCAAATACGAAGCACGCGAAGACGTGACCCGCTCAGAGACACGGGGCGCCGTGGGCCTATTCACTTCCTGCTTGTGGTTGCACGAAAGAAACCCGCAAAACCTCTATAGGCATCCGTCAAGGGGTGTGTGCCGCTGATGGCAAAACCCAAAGTCAAGCAGGGATAGCCGCAAGGTCTACATGAAGTAGGCTGTAGGTGATATGTGGCCAAAAGGGGGGGGTGATTCCGCAATAACTTGCGGCGCACTTTGAAAAGTACACCTCAGATACATGACTTCGGCACTTGACGGGGTTGCTCCAAATCTCGAAAGCACCAAACCACAATGATAGGATGTTGTTGGGTTCTTTTGTTGTTCCTTTTCCAGAGACCAAGTTTTTACGGCAGCGCCTTTGGGGTAACCCTATGAAACCCTGCCAGCCCTTGTATTTGGGTTGGACCAAAATTTGGTAGTTCCCAGGCACACGCTTAATACTTCAAGAATTCTAGAGGTTGGAATTAGGGGGACTTATGCCTGTCATCCCGCATTTTTGTGTTAAAGCCAGGGATGGGCGAACCACTTTGACAAGTCCATGGGTTTTGGGTGTTTAAGGTGCCAACTGGGACGACCCCCGGGCTCTGAGCACAGCAGAAGACAGAAGGCCAAGGTCTCAGCCGAGAAAGGTGCGCGCAGAGCCAATTCAAAAGTCACCGGGCCACGTTTCTGCAGGTGGAAAACGGATGGGATGCGTGTCAAAAGGAGGTGTTGTCCACTGTTGTCCTTGCGATTGGTTTCTTGAAGGTGGATCCATAGACTTCAGCAGGTGTCAATGGTCTCATTTTGACACCTTCCCACTTGCCCAATAAGGAGAGGCTGAGGTTGGGGGCTTGCCCCATCCGCAGAAACTAGCCTGAGATTTGGGCTGCCAGAAAGTCCCAAATCCGTTCTGCAGCACAGCTCAAGCACGGAAAAAGGCAGGCTGCGGGCTGAGTGCTCTGATGTTCACCGCTCAAGGCTCCCCCACCCCAAAGAAACCCTCAGGTCTTCTTTTTTTCCCTGTCTATTACCATAAATGTTTAGTGCTTCTTGCTGTTTTGGTCGATCTGGCTAGGTGGAACTACAATGCCTTTTCTCTGGCCGGGACCCACTGTCAAGTTGCTTGTTTCTAGATGTAGCTGTCCACTTGTGTTTGCTGGCGTGTGAGTCGTTTTTTCTCAATCACTTTTGCTTTCCTGCATTTTGCTTGCAGTTGCTTCCAACGTGGTATAAAATAGTTCACAGCGTCCCCTCTTATGCGCCATTTCTTTCCAAATGCTTTCCGATTGCTGTCCAACTTCTGGTCAATAGCTGTCCGGTGTTCGTGAGCTTTTTCAAGACCGTGTTCGTCAACCCATCATGTTGAGCAGTTGGGCCTTTCATGAATGCGTTCATGTGCTACCACCTCTCCTGGATTGATCTTTGGGCTTTTCAAACGAGGATCGTACCTATTCTTTGGAGTAGTATTCTCTGTTTGGCGATTTTTCTCGGCATGCTTGGTTCCTCGCTTTATACAAACAGCAAGTAATCATAATTTGCAGGACATGTGTTTGAAAAGGATTGAGGGACATGACATTGTCAGAGGGCGGTGTCAAGGCAAGAGGGACAAGATGAATCATCACGGCCCGACGGCCACATGCTCTTGAGGATAATACCAATTCTGACATGTTGAATTGCAAAGCTTCCGCCCGGCTATACTTGTTGTGGGCATGCGTTTGCCGCTTTAATGTTATGTCAGAATCACAGCTACCCAATGTATATCGATCGCCTCCGTGCAAACCATCATGTTGATCAGAGAACTTTGCCGACCAGGTTTCGTTGGCAGAGTTCTTTACCTTTCTCCCGCACGAGGGGAATGAGGTTCCCCACAGGGATGAAGGCCATAGAGGCTCATATTGTCAAATCGTCCGGTGGTCGCCGAATCTCTCAGTTCCATACACAAAGTCAGGAAGTCGCAGCATCGGCAAAGATTAGCCATCATGCAAGCAGAAACTCATGCCCATGCGCCTTCAGCAAGCAATCACAAGGGCCCAAACTCAAGAAAACTGCCAATCGTAGGGGATCCGCCGGTGAGCCGCTGCCGGGCGAGGCCACACGAGGCGGAATCGAGTTCGCCAACCCGCAACTAACATGATGCCGCCAGGGAATGGCCTAATATATCATAAGATCCTGTTGTGTCCTTTGCTAGTCAGGTGCTGCCTGCTGGGTATGACAAGACATAGTACATGTGTATAATATATATATAATACATATACATATATATATATATGTTTTTTTGAGGGGTCTGTAACAGAGCCGCGGCGGACATTCGTTACAGACCTCGTTACAGACCTCTGTATCATTAAAAACAAGATGGGTACCAGATTTACGGGCATTAGACCTTATCTCAAATTATACAAATTTATGTTAAAATCTTAAACTATCTAAAATTATCATATGTTTGCATCTAAAGTGAAAAAAGAAAAGAAAGATAAAACAAGCCCAAAATAGCATGAACTAAGATAAAATAGAAAAAGAGATAAAACACAACCCGCTGGCTCGTTGCACAGCCCTCGTTACACACCCTCGTTACACGCCTCAGATGAACAAACCAGGCCAGTCGCTGCGTTGAATGGCTGCAATCAAGCTGGGGCTGCGGAGACGCGCTTTGCGTACTGCGCTTTGCTTTGCCTCGTTACAGACCTCGTTACATAGCCGTTACATACCTCGTTACAAACCCAACCCCAGCCCGAACCAGTGACCCCCCTTTTTGCCATCGCTTGGCCTTGCGTCGGCAGTTGCATTTGTTTTTGCGCAGCACGCGTGCTTCGCGTGCTGCGCTTGGACTGTACGACTTTCGGGCAGGAGCTGCTGCTCTTCGTTGTTCTGGGCTACATGGTGCTACTGATACTGCTTGTCAATAAATGTTTTCCCGTTCCAGACCTGCGGAACAAGCACAGATCTCTGTAACAAAATTCGTGGCGCGTCGCGCGTTACAGACCCTCCAAAAATTCATAGCAATATATATATATATATACATACATAGACAATATGTGTTTCTGTGTAAACCTCGGATAGCATAAGCAACGCAGTGCAGGTTGGTGAGTAATTAGTGACTATTGCTTATGTACTTGAAAGCTGGGGACCTGTATGTTGGATTTGAAGGCACACTTCAGAGATCTTCAGAGTGTCAAGACAAGGCGGCCCTTCTCATGTGATTAGCAGCTCAGGTCGGCATCCCAACAAGTGTCTCGAGATGTCCACATGAAGCCAACCACATTGCACTCACTCCCTGGGTTCCAGACCTGAGCAACTCTTTGCAGACCAGCAGCTTAAAGTAGCAAAGAAGACAACCAATTTTTCCAAATCCACGCATGATGTGAGATAATAGGGGCTCCCTGCTCCTGGTGCATTGGGTAAGCAAGGCCAGATTTACGGTAGGCATGTGGGAGTGACTCAAAAATCTGGTTCACCATTTTCAGTGTCAACGGTCTCACGTTGGTTTCCTTGCTGAAGCCGATGTTTCTTCGGAGAAGCCAGCGTGTGAGAATTTAAGAGACCAGGTTTGAGTCCTGCAATTGCAGCCGGTGGAGACGCAACCGACGGTGAGTCCGAGGAGAAAAAAGAGGCGCCCTCTAAGGAAGGCTGCCATGTACGAGAACCTGGGGTACAGCGGATGCTGTGTCCTCCAGGTGGACGGTCACTGCTATGCGGACTACGCCAGCAGACAGCCTGGACATGATGGCTCTGGGGGAGTTGGTGGGAGTTGCCCCATTTCCCATCGGTTGTTGGTTGAGGAAAGCACGGCAGGATCTCGCTCGCAGGCTTACCGGCCTTTGGTGGCGCAGGCTTGTTTGTATTTTGTTTTGCTTTTGGCGCTGCCAACTAGCAATGATTTGGATGTGTCTTCCAACCTGTTTTCACACATACCCATGTCACGAAACCACAGCTGGAACTGTCCTAAGCTATGCTTAGTAATCCTGGGATGTGGTGGGCCAACACAGGCAATTTTGCCTGGCAAGCGCAAGGCCTGCTGCCGATCAGTGCCTGTTGTTTGCGATGCCCTGACTCAACTTTGAGCGTCGTGAGGCACCATGCCATTGGACTTGGCATCAGTCCGGGCGCTCAAAGACGGGAGCGTTGCGCAAGCCGGGATCAACTGGTCCGGTTGCGAATCTCGACCCCGGAGTAATAAGCCCGTCCCATTATAGCGGAGGTGTTCCCTCCAAAGTGACGAATCGCCAAAAGGGGACACACTGCCCAGTCAAAATCAACCAGGGGTTTATGAATCTGGTGTACATGAAGTGGCACCCCTGTTCCCTTGTTTGACTCAAGATGATCCTGAAGGGATTCCCCTCCACATGCCAATGCAGAGTTGCCATTGACAGATCAATGATTCCGCAAAAACCGTGCAGGTGTTTGAACTTTTCTGAAGAAAGCCTTGAGGCGATGGATCAGTTTCGTGTTATTGTTATTCACCACTCAGTGAACAGCTTAGCCAGAATGATGAACAATAGCCTAACATCTCCAGGCAGGGATGGCTAGGGGACACACATCTTCATGTAAGCTCCTGTAAGTAGTTTGCACCGAAGGGTTCCCAATTGAAATTCATCCGATAGATTGCGCACCTCTTTCACAGCAGAGCCATCTCAAATTCGGATTACCATGTTTTGTTGAAGATTTGGTAAACGTATCCAGTATCGTCAACCGTCAAGGAAGGACATGAACGGCTTACGCAATTCCCCACAAGCTGAGACGAACAAATTTGCCCAGTCCATTCGGCAAGTTTCTCGGGCATGTTCCCTGCGCAGGTGGAGAGGTATGTGTTGCCTCGCCTCGATGTGTTCGGACATGCCATCTGCTGGGATGTAGCCTGGAAGCTGCAATGGTTGACAGGGTATCGTTGCCCAACGCCCGTCAGACTCTAAACACACGTTGCCATGGCGGCATCATCGTGCCAAGAAATGTCAAACCTGCGCCAAACAAAGTGGCATTGCTGGCTATCAGCCGGTTTCCCCGGCTCAAATATGTCACGGAACTGGGTGGATTTGTTGCCAGCAGGCGACCCGTGAAGTTGCCTTGGGATTCCTGGCTTTCAATTTGCAGATTTCGTTTGACGAATGCATCAGGTCATAGGGCCCGCAACTGGGGCTACCAGCTCAAGAGCTTGGATCAATCAGCCGGGCGTTTGTGTCAGTTGATCCGTTCACTGGCGAGCCCCAGCTTTCATTCGAGGAAGCCTTATGGTGTCCTAGAACGTGTTCAACTTGTTCATGCTGTCACTGAGAGGGGCATGCAAGGCAGTCCTGCACCATGTTCACGTAGAATGGTTTTGTCTGAAATGTGGAGAGACCAGAAAAGATATGTGTCCTTTTGCTTTTCCTACAAAGCCAAAAACGTTTGGTTCCTTTTTTGCATTACACTTTCAAGCCAACCAAAACCAAAGCATCCCGCTCCCCCCGGCGAATCACACCCCGACGCTTCGTCACGAGGTCTCGGCACAGTTGGAGCTCAATGACATCCCGGAGAGCGCCCATGAGCGCGAGAGCTCGGAATGAAAAGATGCGAAGCCCCGGGAGGACATTTGTATTTTGAGTTTCTGGGGGTTGATCAATATTCCATCCTAATGGCCCCCGGTTTTGATGGACCACTTTTCCCGTGTTGACGCGTCACATCGGCTTAGTGGCTTTCCAGCCGATGGTCATCTCTAAACGACTTTTCGATCAACCTCCATATGTGTCAAAATTGGGGATCCTTGTGGTGTTTCCCTTAAAGACGTCCAAAAAGGGTACCCTCAAACAACAAGACGCCCAGATGGAGGGGCCGTGGATGGGCCACCCCCACGTTTGTTGTCATTGGGGGTGTGATGGGGTGGGGTTCCTCAAATATTGAGTGATCTACGGAAGCTTCCATACGGTTTTTCGGCAATTCTTTGCAATCTCACAAAGGTGTGGCACTTTATGAAGATTCCTCTCACAGGAAAGCAAGGGGTTTCCGGCTGCGCCAATCTTTGGGTATTCTGTACCTTGGGCTCCAAGCTCCATCGATTCCGCCGAATCGTTCCGGCGGAAACGGTTTAAGGACAGACCACCCGCACATGAGACACACAGTGACCACCCTCTTTCCAAGAATCATTGTTAAGAGGACCAGAGTGTTATCTTCCATGATTGCGGCTTCGGGGGGGTAATGTGATGGCATGTATCAATTACCCCCAACACTACACCACAGCAGAAACCCAAAACACCCCTCAACAAATCAATTTAGCCCCCCAACCCTACACAAATGGCTGTGGGTCAACACCAATGGTACCATTTTGGGATAGGTGCACCGCCCCTTTTGGACGGGACGATTTGGATTCATACCCATGGCCAAATCACCCAGCCCCAAACCGAAAGCAACGAAAGCGAAAGCCCAGGCCGGGCCCGGGGCACTACTTTGGGCCCGACAGCCAGGGCTTCAATGCGCCGATGCCTCGATGGGGTGCTTTCTTTGGGGTCGCCAACGGCGAATCACCGCCCCGAAGCACGATAAATACATGGGAGGGGGACCTAAGGTCATTTTTTGTACGTTCATTTGGGGTAAGGGACCTTCAAAGTGGCAACGTCAGAAAAATGGTTCAGTTTGGTATTACCGAAAGTGATGTGTTTCACAGCCATGGTTTCCATGGTTGTTCTTTTTGACACTCTCATGTCACTAGGTCAATACGGGATCCGTCAGGGGGTTCAGATCCAAGGCAGGTGAGCAATAGACATTCATTTGTTTGCCAGGGGACATGTTTTGGGTGGGCCCTCGCTGGTTTCGTAGGTATCGGGAACTGGGCAGGTAATAATTTCTGGTGGCAACATGTGTGGGTAGTCGTGAGGGTTGTCTAAGAAGGGGATGTCTTTCACTGGGACCAGGGTCCCAAAACCACCTGAGAAAAGGGTGCCCTAAAAAAACACCGACCCATTTGTACTTGCTTGTAGAATTGGAAGAAAAAGGATTTCCGCACGATGTAGTGACTGCACACTGGGTTACTAGGGGGCTGCAAAAGAAAAACATGTTTGCTACGATACCAAGGGCTGTAACGATATGGATATAGCTATGTGGGTGGTTTGATTTCCCCCTGCCTCATGTTTGCCGCAAAGGGCGCATCACTTGATTTCGACACTCGACATATATGGAACAAAGAGAGCTTTAAAAGATTGGTCACGCGGCTGCTGTTTTCTTCCATCCGCAGCGGGATCTCATTTGGTTAACCAAAAGTCCAAGTTTCAGGACCCCCTGCAAATAGCAAGTTCTGCGGCCGCTGTTGAGTTGTACAATTGAGGGACGCCAAGCTGGCCAGGCAGCAGCAACTTGACGGAGAATTGAATGTTAGATACTCGTGGCCAAACACACCAATTCATGGTGTGTCTAGTTTTCTGGTTTCCTGGACAGGGCGCAGCGATGCGGCCCGACAGCCAATGTTTGGCAACTTACATCTCGCAAAGAAGAAAGTTCCGGTACTTTACTTACAGGCCAAAGAAGGGTCAGTTCTGGGTAACAAAGCACTGCTTCAACATGTCCAACTTGTTTGTTGGCTTAGCTCTGCTGGCAGGATGGGCAAGCAGATGTTTAGCAAGTGCCGCTCGGTGCGGCTCTTAGAACCACCCTACTTTTGCCGATGGCCGGAGCCCATTCGCAGTACCTGGGTGTTAAGCTGATCTTGCCCGGGGGGGGGAGATTCTCTTTTTAGGAATATAATTTCTTGTTACGTACGAGTTTGTTTGTGTATGATTTTAAATGCGCTTATCATAGAGGTGTACACGTTTCAGTGAGCTTCAGGACTCTCTCCTTTCAGAGACGCCTTCGCTTCTTGGTTGTTTTTTCCAGCTGGCAGACTGATTTCTGGGTTTGTTTGTTCCTTGCACATGTGCAGCTTGTGGGTTGGGCTTTGGCATAGAACACGCGGATTCTCTTCATATCTCTTGAGACAGCCCCTGGCTTGAGCTTAGAGATCTCGGAGGTGCTCATTTTGCATCGGGTCGCTTCGGGCGGTCGCTCGGTTGCTTGGTTGGTGTGAGTAATTGGTTGATCTGTTGGTTGGTTGGCAGTTACGTGGCTTGCTCGCCTCGTTGGCTGGTTTCTTGTGGCTGTTGCTGTTCATGAAGTTGTTATTGTTATATATAGCGGGGGTGGTGGTCGGGTGTTATTGGTTGCTCAAAACCGGTTGGCTCATAGTGTTGGCGTCGATGGCAGCAATTTGTTGTGCCTATGTGCTGCGCTGTTGGCGTTGGCCATGGTATTGATTCCTTCCTTGCTATGACAAATGTCTTTGGAAACTAGCTATCGGTTGGCATGTGTTTTTTGCGACAGGTCCCCAAAGCCCTGAAGATTTGCATCTTGCCTTTGAACAAAATGAGTCCCCCACTGTCGACTGTCCTCAGTGTACAGATGTACGATTTGTGGACGAAGTTAGTGTCCAGCTTGTTCATAGGTGACCTGGAACCTGGAAGCATCTCGGTTAGGTGGAAAGCATTGGCCGGTACCAGCAGTAGATTTTCGACTTGCTTTCGGAAGATTACACGTGTTGGAGACGTGCTGGCTCAGTTCAACCGAGCACCACCTGTCTCCCAAAAGCCCAGAAGAGGAAACTATGACCCAACACCTGGAGGTTGAACACCGATTGGCCTGCTTTAGCTAGAGAGCCGTTTGCTCTCAAGCCGAAGGCATGCCAAGCCGAAACTCGTGAAATGCGGTTTTGCAATCGATACGATTCGGGGGTTCTCGCCACCATTTCGGGCGTAGGGTTTGCGCCTTGTGGTCCGACTTTGTTAAAACAGCCATTGTTTAAGCCAGCTGTGCCATTGTTTAAGCCAGCTGTGGTTCCCTTTTGCGGGGACCAGGGTCTTGTCAAGGTAATTTGAGAATGTCACTGTTGCACACAGGGTTTTACCGCGCTCGTCGTGATAGCAAGAAAACCTCAAGTGACGGCGTAGGCATAGCCACTAGTCGATCCACTGCACTTGGGTGCCAAATCATACGTAATGGTAAACTTGACGGTTCTCAGAAGGGAATGAGGGAATACCTCCTATAAACCATCCCCTACGGTCCCTAGCTTCGTTCCCAAACCCCGGTTCATTCCCTCCTGAGCACCAGCAGGTAAATGTCCCTAGCAGAAATAAGCCTGGTGTAAAAGGCAATACCCCAAGCCTCTTGGTTTGGTGTCGGACACAAATGCCACTCAGCCCGTGTTCGATTGAGTTTCTCAACTGCTCACTGAAAACAGTTCCTCAACTGTTTGAGACCATTTTAGTGGTACATAAAGAGTTTGGACTTCTTCTTTTTGGCTAATCTTTGCAGGGAGTGAGCTGATTTTTCGTTCAAGTCCATTGAACATCCGGCTCGGAGCCCCGAGGCACCGGAGGTAAGCTTGCCCAAAACAGGCTGGGTGGGCCTTGCAGGGCTCCTCAATTATTTTTCATTTTGGACATTTGAAAGAGGTTGCTTTTTCCACCAAAAAAGAGGGAAACCACCATTTGCAAGGCAATGTCCAGGTGTATAGTGTAAGGATCCCTGTGCAGGGCCGGCTGTGGATCCACACAGGCAAAAGCCATGGGGTACAGCCTGGTTTGGAACCTACGCGTGCTTGTTCCAACAGACTTGCCCAGGCTGCCTTGGTCCGACTGTTCTTTTTGGATGTGTTGGAAAGGAAACAATGGCAAGCTTGCCATGCGCTGCAGGGCGCGTCTCAAAATTGGGTGGGCCCCAAAATGGGTGGTTTGCCTTGGGTTCCCCCCTTTCAACCAAGCCAAAAGAGGGTACCCTCAAAACAGGGTGCACCCAAAGTCATGTTCTGACAGGCTGGGACAACTGGCAGAAGGTCACTGTCTCCAAGGCCGCAGAAGGCGCCGGGCGGAGTAGAATCTCTGACTTCTCTTCTAGATGGCTCATTTCCCTTCGGTTTCTCTTTAAGATCCAGTGACCTTGCGTGTGAAACAGGGGGTCTGGAGCATCAAGTTATTCATGGTCTTATATCCAGTGTTTAAGCATTTTGGGCCATGTTTGTTTTTGCCTTAGCTTGTCGCGATCCTCACTCTGTTCTTTTAGTGATGTGTTTCCCAATCCTTCAATGGCCAGCCATCAGCCATCAGCACATCGAAACCACATGCCAAGGATTGGCAACAATCCGACATCCAACGAGTTGAGGAGTTCCGGAGGTTGGTTTCGGGCACAATGTATTGGGGCCACGGCAGGACACAGCAACTTTTGCTTTGCAAACCCTGTTGCTCTATCCAACATGTTGTTTTTTCACCGTCGCTTCTGTCCGGCATCGTCAGTTCTGGACTTGTCCCCCTTTTGGCAGCAGGGACGTCCGGTGCGATCGATTGCAGTGCACTTTGGTGTGTTTGCGAAGTGGGACAAGGATAACATGACCAGCACTAGATCAGCGCTAGCGTTACAGCGATGTATGAAGCTGGAGTGGCGTCGAGCGGAGCCATTGGAAACGAGAGGACTCGTCAAGCAAACAGGGCAAAGCACTGATTGCAATTTGCGTTGCCAAGCTATAGAACCGTTGGACATGTTGGCAAACATTAAGCGAACAAATATAAGCTACCCTTGGTTGCTTTTGAGAGGAACAAAGTGTTCGACCTTGTTTTACCAGTCACTATCAAGACGTGTCAATAAACGCCAACCCAGTTTGCCGTTGTTTGCCCGGTTGCCCAATGGCATATGGGTCCCCTTCTTTCACGGGCGTTGTCTTGAAACTCGCACGGTCCCCCTTTGATGAACTGAACAGCCTTCCGTCCTTTTGAACTCTCTAAGGGTTCAGGGAAAGTGGTCCCAAGCAACACCTATCGCGGCCTTTTCCAATCCCTTGTGTTTCTTGGGTATCTTCTTTGAGGCTGTTCTGAGCGGTGCTTTGATTGGTTCCAGTGGACTCCACCCGGCTTTCCTTTTGCACAACACAGGCGAGCAACCTTCACAAGGGTCCCCTTTGTTCTATCCGCCAGGGCACTGGACAAAGGAACTGGCTTTGGTGCATAAAGTTTCTCCCCTGCGCAAAAAGGAAACCACAAGGTTAGGAATGTTGTCTAGTAAGGACAGCAGTGGGGCAAATTCTGGAGATCCTAACATCGGCCTTACAGGCTTCACAGGTGTCTTGCATGTTGTGTTGTTCAAAAGGTAGACATGTCTTGCATATGCAACTTGTTGAACATTTCTCTCACCCAATGTTGAACCAGGACTGACTTTGAGATTGGCGAAGTGAGTTTCTCATCTCTCGTTGCATTGGTGAGCGCCCACCAAAGCTTGTTCAGGATTTAGCCGGGGCTGACTTTGAGAACGGTATGCGATATGAGCTCCCTGGGGTCAAATGGATTGGGCTGAAGCTGCGCACAGATTTCCTTTCCTTGGGAACATGGTCTTCCAAAACGCGTCTGTGCACAAGGCCATGTCAAAAGGCAGGAGCAAATCCTTCGCCAGCCAGAATTCAACAAATTCCTAAGGGGCCATCACGGGTCACCTCGTTCATGTTACACCGGAGTGCAAACATTGTTCGATGCTACGGTTTGGGTTCCGGGCCTCCGATTTGTCGCCCTTTTGTTCCCTTTGAAACAACCCTCAAAGGGTTCGTACTCGGAAACAGGGCGATTTTTGCGCATTTAAGCTGGTGTCTAGGTGATGGTGAAAAAAGCTCGGGTGCAAAGACAGAAGTCCATGGTTGTGGGCAATGACCACAGAAAGGTACCAATATGTAGACCATCCCTATGACAACCATGAACTTGGTGTCAAAGACTGTCTTTTTTGCAAAAAGCAACATGTAGTGTTTACAACCATGTTTCAAATTCATCTGCGGGTCCGGGAACCCGTTTTGCAGTGCAAACTCGGGTGACAACACCCAAGTCAGACGCAGCCTTTGGCACACCTGACGCGCCTCAGCCACTGGCCGCGGCCGGGACTCCCCAAGCTGCGCGTACACAGCCGGGGGGCCCAGCGTTGGAAGCCTTCGCATGCCTTTTGGATGTTTCTCGCAAGAGGAACCTCCGCAAAATGGTTTGTCTCCTTGTCCCAGTGGATCTGCGGCAAACCCAAATAGTAGGTAACCAGCTATGTTTCTTGGGTTTAAAGGGTGGCAAGCTTTTGGTTGCCTACGTTTACCAGGCAAATGGATCTGGGTGTGGTTCGCCTTTACAGCATTCCAACACTGGGCTCCGCCACTTTGAGACCCAATCATTCTTCCGCATGTGTCCAACAAGGTTGGGTGGATTGCGCACTCAAAATGGTCGACCTCGAAAAGGGCTCCCCCTTTGGTAGATGGGTCCTTGGGCGGGGGGGTAGGTGTCGCAACGCATAAGGCATACACATAGGGAAACACTTGGAAATGTGTCTCCAACTTACATGTGTGATACACGCCTGCATTCTTCGAACATTGACCTCATGCGAAGGTTCGATGATTCGATATTGAGGCTTACTGCTTCAGAGCCAAACGTATGGAGTGCGCAGTGAAGACATGTAGGGTGATGTATGAAACTGTAGCCTTTTTTTTACATGTGCAAAAACCATGGCAGAACCTGTTGTTTCTGAATTTCTATTGGAAACTGACAAAAGTCATCTGGAAGACCTTGTTGGGGGAGCCCGCCCAACTCCACAATTGAGAAGAGGATGCATAGAGTTGAAATTTAGAGGATATCCCTCATATGAATGTTTTTCAAAATAGTGGTGTTTGTAAGATGATTAGCTTCCTTTTGGTTTGCCTTTGGCTACCAAGCAAAAGGGGGTCCACATTTTCGGCAATCCCTTCTATTTTATCAACATTCAGGTGAGTCTTTTTTAGGGAACTTTCGGAATATGTCCTTTCCTGTTTGGTTTCCCTCTAAGCCAACCCCGAAAAGGGTACCAACTCCAAAAAGGGACACACCCATTCATTAGACCTCTGGAAGGGATGCGCATCCGTTGGCTCGGGTCAAGGTCCCGACGACCCTGGACGTCGCCAGCCGCAAGGACGACGGGTCCTTCCACGGCTTCGGTAGCTCCAACAGGCGAACGGCCAACTTGAGGAGGGTCCCTTGGTACCTTCTAAGCAGGTACTTAGACCCCTTAAACCCCCAAAAGCCATCTACAGGAGGTATTTGGACCGACTCTCTGGGACTGGAAAACAAAAAAACATAGTTTTCAGTTGGTCCAACTTTCCAAAGGGGATTGCTTGAAAGCCTTCCCCCCGCCAGCGGTTTCCGGAACCAGGGGCCCTTGAGTGCTTGCATTTGACTGAGGGGTTGATGCTGTGGTGTCGAGATCCCTCACCACGAAATGAAGCCGTGGTTGAAACCACAACGTTGCTTGGTCTTTACGTTGGGGAATCGAGTCATAGCTTTCCAGGGTTTCTGAAAGGTGCGAAATGGATTTCGTGCATCCAGAGTAGGTTTCTTGATTCAATTGAAAGCAACACCCCAATGTCACTTTTCTTAGCTTTTCTTTGAGCAGATTGGACCATTTCGCAATTTTGGGGTGAAGCCCTCGAGTTCTGGCTTCCCAATTGGGACACCCTCCGTTTTTTTGCCGTTTCAAAGTCCAAGATGTCCTGGGTGGTTTCCGTTTGAATCCTCCCAAAAAGGGTAACAAGCCTCGAACCGGTCAGCTCCGCAGCAGGCCGGACCTCTCCCTCTCCCTGGGCGTGGATCCCCACGGCTCTCCGGGCCCTGTGCATGGCGCCCAGCAAGCGCTTTGGGGGGTTCTGAAACGAAGCACCGGCTGGCTGGGCGATTTGGGCGTGGGTCAAAATTAGTCTGCACCAGGATATGGAACGCATATTTGGTCCATGTTCCATTTGATTGCAAGGGCGAGCCACTTTGGGTTACCCTATTTTTTACCCACAGCCATTCGTTTTAGGGATATTTTTCCAAGTTGGAGGATCCTAAATTTGATGTCCAGAATCTTAATGAGGGATACCCTTGCCAAGTTGGTGGTCTTAAATCCCACTTGAATGATGTCCACCCGAGGGTCCCCAATTAAAACATGGCGGTGTTCAAAATGCCAGCCGGCAAGCCGGCCAAGTTACCCAGACCTCCAGTGGGTTTTTCTTCTTCCCTTGTTCCCTTTGTGGGCTTTCTTGTAAAATCAAGCGCCCAAAAAAGGGCGCCATTCCCACTGGAGGTCTCGGAGTAGAATCTACCCCCGAAGGCTTGTGTAAAACCCAAGTTGCACGGAGTGGTGCCCGTTTTCCCTTTTTTGGGGAAGGGTTCCCATTTAAAGTCAACCCACACAAAAAGGGTCCCCTTTTTTCCCATGGAAATCCACTGGGCATCTGAGAACCTTTGAAGCATCTTGATGAATAAAGTTCGGGCGATGACTTGGGATTGCACTTCTGCATATCGATTTGTTTGAAGTTGATTTGCTAACATGACAAATGGAGCCATTGGGAGGTTTTTCGAGGAATGGCAACCAAAAAGTGGAAGTGGTCCCCGCGGGATTCGATCTGGACAAGATCGAAGTGGATGTGTGAAGTCAAGGTGACAACCCAAGGACTGGCTGTTGGATGGGCTTTCAAGACGTCATGTTGTCGACTCAGGTCCCTTGTTGAGGTGTTCGAGTGTTCCATACACTTTTTTTTTGTTTTTTTTTTTTTTTTTTTTTTTTTTTTCCGGAGTTGGCTAGTGTGTTTCCGTTCAAAGGCATTGGTTTTTGGAGGTGGTGACCAGGGGCCTACTCCAATTGCGAGCATGCAGGGCGACTGCGTTCAAAGTCAGCCGGAGTTTTGGCCTCATCTAGGGGGGTTAGCAGCGCTGTTAAGCTGCTTGCTTTGACGGAAATGGCAAAGTGTCTAACATGTAGAGGTTGCCAGCATCAAAGGACACACGCGATTGTAGCAGACAAGGACGGTTGAACAATGACATTCGTTGAGGGTGCACCCAGCACTCTGGATCCGATTACTCCGATTCTGCAGCCGGCTTGGCATTCTGGGTCCCATGTTTGGCGCTGGGCGTGTGTAGTCCAATTACTATCCAGTAAAAGGCACTCAAAATACGAGGACCCTCAAAGTTAGGAGTTTCTCTTTGTTCCTTGAAACCAACCCTCGTAAACACTAATGTGTAGATCCTTCGCATTCGGCACCCGCAGACACGGCGTCTGAGGTATAACGTGCGCGATGCGCCTATCGCACAGATCTCCCAGGTCGGCGGGTCGCTTTGAAAGGTGCCAACTTGCGTCCAGGAATACATGCAGTTGTTATATATATATATATACATATATATGGTACCCCCCCCCCCACATATACATATACTATTATGTATGTATACATTTTTTATCTATAGGGGGCCCAATGTACATGTTTATTGGGTGTGACCCCAACCCAACCTTATGCGCTGCATCCAGTCCCCTTGTATTTTTATTGGATATCTTCCGTTTCCTGGTCTAGCAAGCCGTTTGAGGTTAGACAAGGGTTCACATGAGCCACAATAAAAACCCAGGTAGATGAAGGTTAGTAAGGGGCCGTCGCAGCCAGAAATAGTTGTACATGGTTCTGGGGTTACGACCATTTTAATACCGGGTTTTGATTGTGACTCACATGCGTCTTTCTCAGGAAATTCCATTCCAGGGTTTCCAAGAAGGTTCCCCACAGATTCCACCCGACCAGGGCCGGGTGCCCAAGAGTCGGGACAACAAGAGCTTCGGCTGCTCCGAGCGGTTTCGCCCGGACAGGCGCGGTTCTGGCCATGGGGCTGGGAAGGACTGGGCAGCTTTGTCCGGTCAAATGGCTGGCCACCTGGCTCATCTCCCAGTAGAAACAAGAGTTATTGACTACACTTTGGGTGACTCAGAAGTAACTTTTCGAACAAGTCTGAGCCACTTGTTCACTTGGCCATTTGTTTGTTCATATTGAATAGGGTGGACTCGGCATTGTTGTCCGACCCCCAACCTGCTTTTGTTTCCCTCCAAACAGAGCACCCTCTCAAGACACCCATTATTTGGGCACAGGCCACGCGTCAATCCGCATCAATCCTTGGTGCAGCGTTAAACTTTTGGGTCTTTCCTGCGACCGTCCAGCCACCGATTGCAGTGTGATCACCGCTGGGAGAGTAGCGGTGTGTGCCTTTTCTGTTTTTTGGCCGATGTGGGTTCTTTATTGTGATAGACAAACTGTTGGCATGCAATATCTAAAGGTCAATCATTCAGTGTTTGCGGGCAAAACAAGCAACCGATTTTGTTCTGGGCATAGCTTCAGGTAGTACGCCTTGTTGCATCCACTGTGGCTGGAAAACAGCGATGCTTGTTGGTTCTTCAGGTAGTATAAATATATATACACACACACAAGTTCACTCACTTCCGACTTGTCTGGACTTCAAACTTATTTCGAAGATCAACATGACATACTAGATCAACGTGCCATACTGCACGAGTCTGGGAGCTTTGCTGACCACTCAACAGACCTCCGGAGTTGTCCTGCTTTATCTTTTGCAAGTGGGGTTGCCTCGAAGATCTGCCGAAGTCAGTGCTCCGGCAGAGTCCCGCCAGGGGCGGCAGCATTGGCCCTGGCCAGTACCGCCGCAAGGACTTCTCGCTGCTTGGCCCAATCGGCGGGCAAAGATCCGGCGGATTGCATCTGAGCTTAAGGGCAAAACGAGCTCGACATGATGTAGGTCCTTGATTTAGGGATCCCTGATATTCCAGGTTTGGATTTATTTTCAATTTTGCAGAATGCACTGAAGGACTTGCTGGTATGGAAGTGGATGACAACCATGTTTGCCGCCCGCTTACTAAGTAGCCTATCCCTTCAAGTAGGGGGAGCGATTTGAGTCTGTTTCAACATAGGCCCGTCTTTCTGCATGACAAGGACACTTTTTCCCGAAGTTCTTTGCGTTGGTGGGTTAGCATTGGGCTCTCCTCAGAGAGTTCTTTTGGGACTGCCTCAAACATGTGGGACCCTTTCTTGCAATTTAATCATGGTTCAAAAGGAATGCCAGCAGGAACCCACAAGCTGGATTTTGGGGACATGGGGTTTCCCAAAGATGGTCAACTCACTGCCAGGGTACCTTCGAAGTCTATGCAATGGGGGAACCCTAGTCTCAGGAGATGTAAGAAGAACCCGCCTCCATAGCCTTGGTTAAAAAGTGATATCATTGTACAGGTGGAGATGATTCACATGTGGGTTGGCAGAATGGAAAATGGACTACGCCGGAGCCATTCGGAATGTGGTCACCGCGGTGTGTCCTTTCGGACGTCGAACACATGTTTATATAACCTTCACCTGATACAATGTTAACTTCGTCCCATACAGATGGTTTCTGACACTCAAGCAGAGCTCCAATCAACGAGGTCCCTAGTTCTTCAAATGTTATGAGTGTGTCTTTTCTGGGGGTACCCCGTTTTCGGTGGTCTTTATGGGACGAAAGTACGAGCTACGATCCTTGAAAAGCGGCACCCAGCCGGTCCCAGGCTGAGACTAGACAACGGCCGGTCCATTGGCACCGGGCGCCAAGCCTGGGAGAAGGCCTCGGAGTGGTCATCGAAGGTATGGGATCTGTTGTTTTTGTGTTTCCCTAGAACCTTTTTTTTCCTAGACCTTTTTTGTTTGTTTTGTTTACTATGGGTTGGTTGGTTGGATGGATGGATGGTACGGGCAAAGAGCCAAATGATAGGAACTGTCTTTGCCTTCAGATTGAAATGACTTTTCTGCATTTTCGCTTTCCAGGAGAAGGTTGACAACTGGCAGGAGGCCCAAGTTTGGCTCGGTCCTGTTGTAGTTGCTTTAAAGGGAAACCGACGAGGGTGTGCTAAGAGAAAGGCCGCCTGAAAAAGGCTGGGATCGGGCTGGGTATTGGCCAGGGTCCCACGCCCTCCAAGGACTTCACGGATAGCTCCAAACTGGGCCCCTCCAACTGGACTTGTCTCCAAACAGGTGCCCAAGAGCACCCTCGAAAAGCAACACTCCGCGGAATCTGTTCCCAAAGGGTTTTTTTTGGCACATAGCATGTTCGCACCTCCAGTTTTGTGAGTTAGATTTGGCTAAATCAGAAAGTGTGCGTTCAGGCCGCTTCTTGACTGGGTAGGCCTGTCTTCCCTTCAATCGAATGTTGTCATATATTCTCAGATCCGGATTTGGAAACTCACTACAGTAGTGTCCTTGGGGCCATTCAGGCGGCATGGAACTTTCCAGACTTCTTTTTGTTGGGCCATATTGAGGTTCCTTAATTGTCTCTTTTGACCAACAAAGCGTTCACTTGTTGCAAGGGTCCAAGTTTGGCCAAGTATCGATTGACCAACCCTCACATCTTGCCACAACTTCATATCGGAAACGTAGACTTTCCTTTAGCAAGGCTGACCATGACATTGATCGTGGGGAAGCAACACCACAGTCGTGTGTTGCGATCCACTCAGTTGGAGCCCCTGGACACCCGCATTCGCAGATCCACTTGCCAGTTTTGTAGAGCGAGGGACACATCCTGAATAATGGAGCACCAAAGCCTTGGACTTTTGCATCGAGGTATCAGATAAATTTGGCTCAATCATGCCAGCATGCTGAGCAGTTGGCCTTGGTGCTGAAATACCAATCGTAGTATGAAGTCAGACGAACACACACGCTGAATTGTATGAATAGGATTCCCTAGTTGCGAACGAAGGGAGAACAGCTTGTGTTGGAACATGAGTGGGGCTTCAAAGGGAGGCAAAGGGAAACCGCTTGTTTTGGGGGGGGCCTATTTAGAGACAACCCATTTACCACGAACTATGTTGGGTTAATGTGGTTTGGAGAGCCTTCAAGACATTGAGGCTTGATGGTAGACGAGTATTCGCTTTCCAGATGAGGGCAGCGTCCTCCTTTTCAGATGTTAGCCCAGCCACCATTTCCTGCGTTTGTTGACCTTGAGCCTGGCCGGTCCCTTTGGAATCCTTGAGCCTGGCAACTGCGTTCCAGTCCGATGGCAGGTGGTCACTCCTGGCTGGGAGTGCGAAGGCGCCTTGGCTCGGAGAGCAAAAGCGAGAGAGGCCTTCCGCACCTCGAAATGTGAAGTTGGTCTTCCAGGTGGCTTGAAATCAAGTTGCCTGTATACGACCTCCGGCGCCCGGTTTTTACTCTTGCAGGAGGGTCCCCTTGGGTTCTACCGACACGCAGCGGTTGCCACAGGTGTGGGAAGACCTTGCGAGGCGTTCTAAAGCTGGGGGCTTTCCCAGGCTTGACGATCCCAGCAGTCAGCCAATCAGCCAATCAGCCAGCCAACCAACCAAGCGTCAATCTATCCAGTTGTCCATCCAATGCATCCAACCAACCGTCTAACCGTCCAACTATCCAGCCATCCAACAAACCAACCGACCCACCAACCAACCAACCAACCAACCAACCAACCAACCAACCAACCAACCAACCAACCAACCAACCAACCAACTAACCAACCCACCAAGCATCATTCCATCAATTCAGCCAGGCATCCAATCATCCAGCCATCCAACCTTCTTCCAAGTATCTAAAGATCCAGCCATCCAGCCATCCAGCCAACAAACCAAGGATCAATTCATCCTTCCAGCCAGCCAGCTAGCCATCCACCCAGCCAGCCATCCAAGCATCCAACCATCCAAGCATCCAACCACCATCCAAGCGAAACCGAGAAACCGAACAAACAGCCAAGCAAACACACAATCAAACACAAACAAGCAAGCAAGCAAGCAAACAAAAACAAACAAACAAACAAAAAAACACCAACAAAAAGAAAGCAAGCAAGCAATCAATCACTCAATGAGTCAATCAATCAATCAATCAATCACTGAATCAATCAGTCAATCAATAAACCCATCAATCCGTCAATCAGTCAATCAATCCATCTATCTATCAATCAATCAAACAAACAAACAATCAAACAAACTATCACAAACAAACAATCAAATAAACATTCACATCAACAAACACAGCAAACCAAGCCAACAAACAAACAACGCGCAACAGCCAAACAAGCAAGCAAACAAAAAATCAATGATGCAATGAGACAGACAGGCAGACAGACAGACAGATAGACAGACAGACAAACACGCCAACAAACAAAACACACGCACATACATATAAACATGCACACAAATCAGCACATCAATCAACCAACAAAAGACAGACAAGCAAACAAACAAGCAACGACACAAGCACACATACATACAATCATACAAACAAGTCAACACGCCAACACACGAACACACGAACGAACCAACAAACAAACTCAATCGAGCAACAAACTCCCAAACAAATGAACAAGCAGACAGACAAACAGACAGACAGACAAGCAGACAAACAGACAAACAGACAAGGAACCGAAGAAATAAACAGTCAAATAATCACAAGCAAGCCAGCAAATAAGCAAGCAAGTAAGCAAGTAAGCAAGCTAGTAAGCAAGCTAGTAAGCAAGCAAGCAAGCGATCAATCAAAGAACAATCACCCACACACATACATACAAGTAAGCAAACAAACAAGCAAACAACCTAGAAACAGTTCAACGAGGAATCGCATGCAGTCGTACCACGCCTTGCGATGGCCACAGAGAGCCCCAGGCCGATGTCGTGCCAGCCCCGGCGTGGGGCCGCCAATGTGGAGCGAGGTCGTACGCGCGGATCTCAGTGGATGGGTTCTCCCCAGGTTATGTTTCCCTTTGAATTCTTCCGTATTGGCTTCCCTGGGTTTCCTTTTTTGGCTTATGTGAGGGTTCTCTCTAGGTGCCCAGGCGTGATTCAAGGTGCGGTGAAAACTTAGCATGGCTTGAAAAGAGGAAGCCTACATCAACTGTGTCGTGGTGAAAAGACCCGCTTTGGTTTGGTAAGGATGGTCATGGATCCCTCAGACATTTTTGAGAGCCAATTTCAAGGATTCATTAAGGCAACTGTGACCATCACACCCATCAGTAAGGAGTGTTGACTATGGCATGAGCGGCAACGTAAAAATATCCTGCAATAAATTGTCCAGCCTCTGCAGGAAGTTTTCAAGCAGCCGCCACACCTGGGGGAATTTGGTATTGGCGTGTTGTGCACAAGAGCAAGTGGCAACTCACTGATTGTTCACTGCCCAGCGGAAACTCTGGTATCACAAGGGACCTTTTTTTGTTGGTCACATCTGTTGCAGGCGCCATGCCAAAGTTTTTCCAGGGTAAGCTGGAAGATGCTTGACCTGAAGCATCTAGTGCATCCATCTTGCGGTGCACAACTTTTGTTTTACCCTCTGTCCAACCATGGAAGACAGGGGATTGCCCCAAAACAAAAGTAGACTTCCAGGTTTTCGTGAGCCTCCATGCTTGGTGGGCCTCGCCCCAAGTGCCCCAAGTGCCTTCGTACGTTTGATGCTCGGCCGGACAGGCGGTGGTGTTTCCATCGGCAAGGCGGACCGCTTCCCAAAAGCAGGCGCAGGGTGCCAGGACTACGGCTCTTGCGCGGCTTGTACAGCTGGGTGAAAATGGGCGTGTCTATTTATTTAGGGGACACCAAAATCGTTTTGTTGTTGTCGTTTCGTTTTAAAACACACCCAAAAAGGGTATGCTCAAAAACAGATCCAAATAGATGGCACACTTCCGCTATTTGGGTTTGTGTCATTCCCTTTACTTCTGGGCCGAACGAAGAGTATTGTGCCATCCGCTTGCACCTTGGCGTTGCCATCTCAGGGACTTTACCATGCGTGAATCCATCTGACAATCATAAAATAACTCTATGTTGCAAACATGCAACCCATCTAAGAGAATCAGTCAACATAGAACCATTTTCACTAAGTGGGACGGTCTTCGCGAAACCCGCTTGATCCGGGCTAGATGGAAGCGGCTTATGGTGCTTGTGGCACGCTGGGCCTCTAAACTGTCAAGCAAGGTTCTTCCCTGCCAGGGACTTTGGAGCAGCTCCTGTGTTTGCATGATTTGCGGGAGGTATGAACTTTCAAGGCAGAGCGAGCTAGTTGCTTGGTTGGTTGCTGGGTTAGGTTGGTGGGTTGGTTCGTGGTGGCTGGGTTTATGGTTTGGCGCATTCGCGGGTTGGTTGGTTGGTGTGGTGTGGCTGGGCTGGGCTTGGCTTGGCTTGGCTTGATTTGTTTGGTTGGTTGGTGGGATGTTCAGTTCATATGTCTTGTTCTATCCTAAGTTGGAGGCAACCAGCGAAAGCGAGCGACCAGCAGCTCACTTGTCACTTGCCTCTCCTAGCAGCCTTAATCACACACAGAGCGGGCAGCATAAATCACATGTGTTGCTTCCAGTCAGGACAATTTGGCATGTTCAAGGTTGCTTTCAATCCGATGAAACCATTGCCACTTGAGCCGCAGGCTTCAGACATTGCCTCAGGGATAGGGAAGCTATGGTGGACTTGTGCAAAAGCTAGCCGGCCGGCACGGAAGTTTATTTCTCTATGCACACATTTCCAGGTGCTCCTTTGACAGTCTGAGTAACAAAATTCTTGCAACTCACCCCTTTCGTCAAGATGCCTTTCTCTTTGAAGCTCCAGTTGCCTTGCGACCCAACCGGTCATCCCCCTCCGGGTGTTTGAGTTGGACACGGGCTTGCGGCTCCTCGCGGGTTTCGCCAGTTGACGGTACCTGCAGCCCCGGGCCCATCTACCATTTGCAGGCGCGCAGCTGGGTGGAACAATGTGGAACACCAAGAAAGCAACCAAACCATGTGGGACAACAAGGGCAGTGTGGCATTTTCGCGGCCTGGTGAGGCATGGTGGGACAGAGACCATGCTGACTTGCAAAGTATCAGACAATTCACGAATGATGGGGGGCCTCAAACGGGGAGACCCACCATTTTTGAGAGTCACTCATATGCTTGTTTCCTTTCAGTATTGTTTTAGTCGTTTTAGTTCGTCTTATGACCAACTGTTGAGTGGCGGTTTATTTTTCCGCTCAATCAAACATGTATAGATGTTGACATATCAACAACAAATGTGGCGCCGCACTGCAGTCGCCGAAGATTTGCGGAATGTTTTTCCAGCGGAAGCTCGCGGAAGGGACCCTTTTGATTTGCACATAGTAGTTTGCTTTCGGTTGGGTGGTTGTTGCCAAGCACGTTTACTAACAAACCGCGCGCACGAATTCCCTCGCGGAAGCTACCTTCCTCAGTTTCCAGAAGCAACTTGCCTGCGGAAGGCCCGCGGAAGCACTGATACATTATGTAGAACCATGCTCGCGGAAGGTACCCTTCACAGCGCGGAAGCTTCGCGGAAGGTTTCGCGGAAGGGTTTGATACGTCAATGCAAATTTAAAGGGAATAAAAACCACCACTCAACTGTATCCGAAGGTTTAGTTGACCAGTCAATCAATTTCGAACCCTGGGGTCCGCTGCTTTGCTTTACTCACGATGTCCAAAACAGGTCCTGTCCAGCTGCTTGGCCAACCGTCCCTTGGTTAGGCAAACACCTGAGTCATCATGCTTCAGGCACGTATTTAAAAATAACACAGGGTTCCCCCGCTGAGGGGTTTCTTCACCTTGAGGCAGCTCCGAGTTTGAAAGTTCAAGATTTCTTCACTGACCAAGTTTGCCTCGGATCCTCGCACCTGCGGTCCTCCAAAAAGTGACCAGCCCGCAAGGATAGATAGAAGCCCCCGAACCCCTTGCCCACCCCTATCCCCCCCTCGCTGTGGAATGGTGGGTGGGGCTGGCTGGAGTTAGTTCAGAATTCGGTGTCCTTTGGTTTCCTTGATCACAGACCAGACTTGTCTGCCCTTGTGAAGCAACCCTGTTGCCTTCATTAGTTTGTATCTTTCTAGCAAGAAACAAAACAAAAGTTGTAGTGCCCAGTGTGTAATCTCAATGGGCTGTGCATGTGCATTTAGACCAAGAATAAGTCGGACTGCGTGGTTTTCTTCGTGGCGGTATCAGTTGATGTCCCGAACGCAAAAGCCTCGCCCGGGGCCGCTTGGCTCCAGTGGCTCCATTGGCTCCAGGCTGGGCTCCGGGGCGGCTCTCCCGCCCCGCGGAAGAAGCCGCCGCCCAAAAAGGACGCGACCGAACTCAAGGACCCGACCTGGAACTCATTGGGGGGGGGTTCAGGTTGGACTTCCCAAAATGGCTTTGGTTGTCCGAAATCTTTGTCTTTTTCCGTTAAAACCGTTAAAAAAGGGGGTGCCCTCAAAAAAGCAACACCCGTCAAATATGTTTCACCTTCTGTTGTTGGGTGTTCGTTGCCAAGTTACTGAGTGGTTAGGCAACTGGATTATCTTCCACTTGGGGAATGGCAATTCCACTAAGAGGCTTGACTCCAGTTAGGCCTACAAAAGTGGTTATGAACAACTTACTATGGCCGAACACAAGGGGCTTCTAGGACTCTAGGGAGTACTCTAGTGGTTATCACTGTCAGAAACCGGGGACATGTATTTTAACCTACTTCGCGATACGTTCAAATACTTTGCTGCTTTTCTTAAGAGTCAATCGGTTGATGTATTTCGAGCATGGTAACATAATTGTGCAGTGGAGCGCGGCTCGAGTGACCGGCTTGAGCGCGTGTGGTTCTGGTTGGGGGCTTCCAAGATTGAGACTTGGACCACGTATTATCTTCTTCTTTTTTCTCGAGAAGTCGGTTGTTCTTTTTGGCTTCCGCTTTCAACATTTGCGAGAAGGGTTACCTTGAAGGGGTACTTGTCCGATTCCGGGGACAAAAGTGGAACACCTGCGTTAAGAATACAAGTGGATACTTGGAACAGAAACCCAGGCAGCTGTTTGAGGGGTTGCCAAAAAGTGACTATAAAGGGTTTGCTGGTTTAGGCCATTTTAGGTGGCCAAGGACATGGGTAAAACTTGGTGACATGTTGGGGCGACTTGGAATCGCAGAGTCACCAAGAAGAAGTGTGCGGACCTGGTGCCTGCGACAAGGTGTGGGGCTTGTTACAGCCATCACCCAGCTGAGGCAGGGCAATGGCTGAATCTTTGTGACTGAGTCACGGGTTCACCTTTCAGTTGAGAATTTCAAGGGCCGTCAGATGCGGCCGGGCTCCGTTTTCCAAGAGCCAAGTTGATTTCAAGCGACTCAATGGATCAAAGAACTGCTGCTGGACAAGGAGGCGCATTGGCTGGCAGCGCCTCTGGGGGCGTACGCTCTTTGCATGCTCCGGGGACTTTGCGGAGGGCACGGAGACCACATCGGACGCTGGGCCAGGCACTCTGCGAGCAAAATTCAAGCTCCTGCCCGAGCCTCCATTGCCAAGGCAGAGGTTTTTTGCTGCAAAGTCAGTATTGCTAGTGTTATTGTTCACTGGTCACGCCGATCATCAATGAGTAACAGAAAGTGTATAATGTTTAGCAACATGACAGTTGCTTTAGTTTCCGGGCCTTCTAGCCAGCATGTGAGAATGTGGAGTGTGTTGGTCAGAAAGCCCTGCTTGGGTAGTAGCTATGCAAGGCTTGCAAAAAGAAGTATGGCGTGCCTTTACCTGGCCACAGCAGCAAACAACTGACCCTCCTTTCCGGTGGCCGCTCAGGATACGGGTCGCATGTCAGGAATAAGTGTGCCTGCTTTAGTATGCCTTGGGACCACAGAGTCCAAAAAGGACTGATTCGACACCCTCTGAAAACTCCCCATGAAGCTCACCTTGTAGTCAACCCAAGTCAGATCACTACTAACCTTATTCCACTCCACCGCTTGCAAAAAGCCCCACTGTGGATGAACGAAATCCTGCACCCGAGAGGACGAAACCTTGTTGAAGGTTCATGATGTGATTTAATGAATGCCACCAAGGTTCATAATCTGATATGATTTCATGATGTTCAAGGTCCATATTTCCGCAGATCATGTGATGTAATGAATTGAACCTTTTTGAATGGGTCCATCCGAAGGAGGATAAACTAAAGGAACCGCCACCACCGCCCGGGGGCCCTGGCCGTGGCATTGCGTCAAAAGGCCTTAGATGTCTTGAACGTCACACACACACACACAAAAACCCTTTCAACATGCGTTGAAATTTGGGGGAACCATACGTGTTTGTTGTTTTTCTTCTGAGGGTTCTGTGTCCTGCTTGAGGCAGGGAAACACAATCGTGACACGAAACAACTACGATAAGAGGGCGACGGATGAGTAGCACACAAAACACAAATCGTTGCGAACAATCAAGCACAGTGTAAATATGTGCTACCATGTGCTACCCTTGTTTACATGGACCATGGCAGAGAAGCACGGACAAAGTCTTTGATCCAACACACAGACACAGAGGGGTGTGGGAGCACCCATGAGTTGCTTAATGTTAACGCCGGAATGAACCGACCCCCCACAATCCCCAAACCTCAGATCAAATGGGTTTCGGGGGAGAAGGTGGTCTGCGCGAGAAGGCAGTTGCGGGATGGAGGCTTACGGAAATTTGCCAAGGTTTAAATAGGGCTGGAGTTGAAATCAATTGATTTGTTGTGCGCGCAAATTGTTCAGCCGAAAGAGCGGTACGTACTAAGGGGTGGTCCCGGAGGCCCTGCGTCAGAGTTTAAAGTTGTTTAGTGTTGGATCCCGGAAGCGCACCTTAGCAATCGGTGTTATTTGTGAATCCGACAGAGTCTCAATCAAAGCGCTTGTAAGTGAATGTTGGACAGTGCCAACAATACAGAGGTGCATTTTGCTTGGATGTTAGGACTTTAACTTTTTGCCAACTTTTGGGTGTTTTCCATTAAACCACTAAAAGCTGGTCACTTTTAGCATTGGAGCAGATTTCGCAACCGAGCATAGGTGCAGCCCTGTGGATTCTAGCAGGTGGACTCATCACTGGGTGGTGTCCTTTGGCTTCACGGGTTTGCATGAGGAAGGTTTGTCAGGGCTCCCTAAAAGATACATTTTGCCCATTTGAAATATGGCTTTGTCCACCAAAGTAAGGGGAAGCCACCATTGACAAGGCAATGCTCAGGTGTATAAGGTAAGGATCCCTGTTTGTGGACACAGTAGAAGGAGATAGAGGCAGAAAGGTGTCTCTGCACACAAGAAACGCAACGCCTACTAGAAGAGCAGTTGCCAACAGCAAGCCAAGAAGACCAAAACAGCCGGCGGATTCCGGGGTTTGCGGAAGGTTAGCGGAAGCTTCGCGGAAGGGTGCCCACGTAGCACAGGTAGCTCAATGGAGCCCAAGCCTACGCAGGCTGCGGCGAAACACTAGTTTCCTTCCTTCCGTACTTAAAATGACTTTCCTTTCTGCGCCAATACTCGCGGAAGCAAATCTTGTAGAACATGCGCTGCGGAGTGTTTGCGAAAGCAAACGATGAATCACATTTGACGCGGAAGTTCGCGGAAGTGACCTCGTGGCCCGCGGCAAGGATGCGGAAGTGTCCGCGGATGCTTGAATAATTTTGAATCGAGTTTGTAGGGATCAAAAACAAACGCTCATCTACGCTCCACACCGGGTACCGAGAAAGACGCACCTCTGCGCTTCCAGCGATTCTTCATGTTTTCTTCATGGGCTTGGCTGGCAACAAGCACGTTTTTTTGTCGGCACCGATAGCATTCCGGTAAATTGTATTGAGATCATCGCGGGGTAAAACGAGCTCACCCACGACGAAGGTCCCTTGCGTCGGGATTTCTGATCTTTTTGTTTGTGCAGTACATCATTTCGCCCACCAAGTGGATCCATGCACTTGTGTAGGTAGGCACAGGAACCATCCTTGAAAAGCACATGAATCAACACACCCCCTAGCAGCTTGGTTCCCTGATTTCTTTCTGGTACCCTTCGAAGAATCATAGAACTGTTCATGGCATCACAAGAGGCGCCAAGAAATTGAGGCCGCCGCCCACCTGTGGCAAGCCGCCCAAGAAGCCGCGGTTCCGCAGAGCTCTCAGCCGCCTGTGGATGGGGGGGGTGGTGAACTCACTTGGACCTCACTCATAGCCGCAACTGGTGTTGAAACCATCCCAAATCGAGCTTGGGAGCGTCTATTTGAGTGTACAGGGGCAGCGCCCTGGTCATTGATTTGCATGCAACACAGCTACGTGGGATCCTGTGTTGATTGAAGAAACAGATCACCTATGGAAGCCAGACTGTCTTGAAGGCTTTGGGCTGCCTAGCAACGATGTCACGACAAGAAGGGCCACTCCCCACCTTGCGTTGACCACCAAACCTCGGACAACCGCGATCTGAGCCCGGGGAAGCTTCACGGAAGCCTGCGGAGCGAGGCTATGAGGTGGATGTTTTCGGGTCTGGATTCGGGGAAAGCACGAAATCAATCGTTCTGCCTCACCGGAACAGAGGGTCTTTCTTTTGACCCACTGCCCACTTTACAGTCAAGCCAAGGTATCCCTTTAGAATGAAGAATCCCTAGCCTCCCTCTTAGTCTTGGAAGCAAACTGCTAAGTGGCAGACACCGCCCTAGAGGCTGGGACTGGGCCAAGGTATGCACCTAGTTCACAGCCTCTCCGGTGCCAAGCACGGCATGTGGGGCCCTGCGCTTGGAAGAACCGGCTGCGGGTGTGACCTGTGGGATCAGCTATGGCCCAGGGGCAGTGGTTTCATCGCCAAACCTCAGTAGCTTTGCCTTTGGGCTGTTCTAGGAGTTTAATTTATGTTCTCAACCATCAAAAGCACATGGCAGAGGGTCTAAGTTCGGTCAAAGTGCTTCAAGGGTTCGCTTCATGGGCCAAGGCAAATGAAGTTGCGACCTTGCAAACTGCAAAAGGAGTTGATTTGCATCTCCACACATGAAGATTCATGTCTTGAGATTATTTGTTTTGCATGGGAACGGTTTCCAAAGGTAGACCCTAAATGCTTAGCTTCCTTCGGTTAGCGGGTGTTTTGGGACCCACCCATTTGGAGATGTCCATTGGGGAGTGGCGATGGATTGCTGCATGCGCCGCCGGTGATCAGTGTTTGTGTTTGTAGCCAAGAGGGCTGATGATGGATGTGGCTTTCAGGTGTTGACCCCTCCACTAGCGCCCAAAACTCCAGGCGGCCATCATTGAAGGTTTGCTCGCGTCGATTTGCTTGGTGTTCTGGCTGTTGCTTGTTTGGTATGCGTCGAAACTAGGAAACTCCGCCAAGAGTCACGATGCTCAGCGAATGCCATTTTGCAAAGCGGCCCTTTTGGCGCACAGGAGCTGGATTCCTGGTCTTGCGATCTTAGGCCTCGAGTGTTGGAGATCATGTGCTGGTCATTTTCAGGCTCTACATATTCCACGTTTCTTACAGGGACTGACTGAGGCCTGCCATTCCTGAAAGTTGGGGTTCAAAGTTATCTTGCTGAGGTGGGCAGAGTTTCAGCTGCTGAATAAACTTCGAGGCAAAGAAAAAGACCCTTGGTGCCTCGGTTTGGCCATTTCTATCGGCCCACGGCACAGCTTCCTTTTCCCGGGCCTCACGGCTTGGGTTGGGTTGTCCAGAACTGATCGACCGATTCTCTATCGAGTCACTGGGCTTGGATAGTCCATCCAGTTGTGCGGATGTGTCGCAATGTGCGGTGCTTGCGAGGCTACTTCTGATGGCGTGTTTCAGGCCATCCGGGTGTGGCCTGCAGTCAACCTATTTCATAGCGAGCTTGGGGTAAAGTCACCCAGAAAGAGGCACCCCTGTTTGTTTGCAGATGGTTGTTTCATCTCATATTGGGTTTGGGATTGCTGTAAATGGTGCACATTCAATGTTTGTGCGCGCGCGTGCCTGACGGAAGCAAACTAAACAACTGAATGTGATGGTGCGGCATCCTCAAACATGATGATCTATGCAATGACATGTTTTTTTTTGTTGTTGTTTTTGTTTTTCTGCAGGCCACAGCCAAGTTTCACTGCGCAACAGCTGAAGCTGTTTGTGTCCCAAGGCTTGGGAGCTTTCTGGTTTCTCCTCGGTGTGGAGGCTACTATTTTGGGGGTTGTTCTAACTGGCACTTGAAGGGACATCACCCAGTTTGTGTTTTCAAGCCCACATGTCACATGACAGGAGCGTCCTCTTGTTTTCTTCCACTCTGTGAATAGCTATTGATGCTTGTCGGCCTCGGCCCAGCAGTGTGCCGGCTCTTTTGGCCTCGCACGGATGAATCTGTCTAGCGGTTCGACCCTGAATGGATGTGTGTGTGTGTGTTTGTTGATGATACCCGTCTCAGCTTGGTTTAGACAATGCTACACAGTTGGAATGGAACCATATTTTTATTGGGCGGGGTCGTCCTATTGTGACACTTAACAGCTTTCATGCACCTTGGTGGTTGCCTCAGACAATCAATCCAAAGTTTGCCGTGTGCAGCTGGATGGTTCCAAAGCAAGAGTCAATTTGGACGGGCGGCCGCTGTTGGGCATGAGGCGATTTTTGTGCGCGGCTCCTCCCAAGGAGGGCCGATTCGCTAAGAGTCTGGAAGACTTCTGGGTCAGGCGTGCACACTGGTTGGATGTGTTCAACAATTATTGAGCACCCTTCAAATAAGAGTTTGTCAAAGGTTGGCTTCTTCCTCTTCTGGATCAGTTCCGGTGTCGTTGGTGCCCACAATTTCTGACCAAGCTTAGTCTTCAATCTCTTCCTTCAAAACAACACTGCCAGAGATGCCCTTTACAAGAGCACGCCAATATCTTGTTTTACAGGTGCAGGCCGCAGGCCTGGGGGAATGGGAATTAGGGTTGGTGACGCCTATCTTTGTTGGCCCTTTCCACCGAGATGATGGAAGAATGGCATCAGGAACCGCCACTATTGAAATTTCAGTGGACCTTCCTACCACCCTTGGTTGATGGTTGTCTTCTGCCTTGAGAACCAGACAAAAGATGAGGTGCCCAACTGATCCCCGGAAATGCGTGTGTGACAGGTAGGAGCACTTTTTGAGTCGTTGGCAGTCGCTCAGGGCCTCTTGACCACAGATTCAACCGCCATGAGCGTTCTAGGAGAGCTCCCAAAATGAAAACATGTCACAAAGAACGATGTGGCGTCTAGGTGACGCTCATGTGACTGTGTACGGGAGGGGCTTCAAGGGAAAACTGAGTAGCCAGCGTGAAGCAACCACTTCCCCTGGTCCACCAGCTTTCATTTCAGGCTACTCCACAAGCAGAGCCCGTCACCGTAGGCGCCGAGGTAATGACAAGTTGTCTTCCAGTCTTTTCAGGTAGCTCAGCATTCTGAGATGAGGTTGGCTTTTTCGGAAGGATCACTGGATCTGTAGATCAAAGTCTCGTTGTAGGATCTTGGTCCCACTGCACGATCGGCGGCTGGGGCTAGTACAATGTCGGGCAGAAAACAACATAGAAGCAACCGCGCGAGCGGGCCGGCGCGGCTTTAGGAGATGTGGTTGAATCCGTCAAGCATGTGGGACCTGTGAACCATCGGACTGGAGCAACATGGTTTCTTACAATTTATGCGCGGTTTAATAAAAACAAATGCCATATGAGCACAACTGGCCCAACAAGTTTAATCGTGGCAAGCGCGCTCCTGTCGTCTACCCATTGTCCGGCAAAATGGTTTCAAGGTATGGTTTGGTTGAAGGGGGTGAACAACTGGAACAAGTTCGCCCCTTTGACTTTGGGCCTGCGGCAGACTTGGAGTTGATGCTGATCCCATGGAGGAGTTGTCGATGGCCCAACCTGGCCAGGAGAACCATTTTGTTCCTGAATCAGATGCGTCACAATCAAAGCCCGGGACATTGGAGGGACAACCCCAGCCAGAATTAGGTGCCGCCTGTTCGATTCTTTACATTGGGTAGCCTGTTTTTATACCGGGTTTTGAATGTGACTCAGATGTTCTACTGGTTCATGCCTTCAACTCTTGAGGGAGTGTTAGGCGTGACTTCCATTTGGTTTAGCGTGACGCTTCATTCCAACATAATACAAGGACAGCCTTAGTTGTAGTTGACATCAGCATTCTGTCAGCATGCCGACTGTTGCTGCGTGGATCCTCGTAGCCTTTGGCCCAAACGGAGCAACAATGGTGACAGATACAACAAATGGCGGAGCGCTTTCAGTGTCTTTGGTGTGCTAAGAATCCCCTTACGTTGTTGATGCGAATGTCCCTTAGAGCAAGCCAACCGGGATGGAGGATGATCTAATTGTGTTTGTTTGGCCCAGTATGGCAACTGGTACAAAATTGCAAGGATGGTTCTCAAGATCGGGAGCCCCCAAAATGTTGGGCTCAAATACCCCCCCCTCCCGCCCAAACCCCCCAAACCCCCAACCAACCTTTTTCGTCCCATTCATGTCAACCGCGCGCCTCACCTTCCAACCAGCTTCACACGAAGGCCCCTTTGGGCGTTCCACCACGACTTCCAACCCAAGATCCAGTTGACTTATGGTTCGCTTTGCCTCCAAGGGGAGCGCCCCCCTCCCCTCCTGCCGGCGGCCACAACATGATTGCCCTTTGGTTCCCTTCAAAGCCACCCCGAAAAGGGTACCAACTCCAAACAAAACACACCCATTTCTGCGATCTGCATTGAAACTTTCTTACATTTGTATGGCTCACGGGACCAGAAATCAACATAAAATGAATTCAGGTGGTGGCAATTGTCAACGTACGGCAGCTGAAGCCCTGAAGCCCTGATGCCATGCGAGCGTTGGAGGCAGGGCTATGGGCTCTTTTTATATCCTGGGACACCCTCTGAGAAATTGTAAACGCTTCGCGTGGGACTAGAATTTGACCAGTTGGATGTAGGGGGCGAGGGAATTTTGACTGGTTTGGGGTAGTTGGGCGGTTTTGCTGGAAATCGTTTCTGAGGGACATTTCGGCCGGATGTGACCGGTTTCTGTTCTTTTTTAGGGGAAGTTGGAAAAATGCTGGAATTTGATTCGTTTGGGGTCGAGGCTGCGTGCGCTTGGGCAAGGCTTGCTTCAGAGGGGCTGGGCAGCTGGAGCATGAGTTTGGGTCGCGCAACATGGGTCAGTGGGGGGGACGGGTCGGACGGACTCATGGGGGGCTTCAACATAGACACTTAAAAATAGCCATGGAAATCAGTATGCGTGGGGGGGGAGGGGAGAGGCACATGTGCTTAGGCACGGCGGTGAATGTAACATCACCAATTAAGGTTTTCCCTCCCTCCAACAATGATGTGGGCTAAGTGTCTTCCGACACTTTGGCCCTCAAGAATGGTGGTTTTCCTGTTGGTTTGCCTTCGAACAGCACCAAACAAGGAACCCACAATCCATGTGCACCAGGTGTGACTGTTCAACGAAACCTTTTCGGCTTACAGCTTCTGATGGAAGATTCTTTGCCACCTTGTTCCACTTGTGGAGGTGGCGGAGGATCCCAGGAGGCCACGAGTGCGCGTTGTACACTTGCGGCTGTTCTAGTGTCATCCTCAGAAGATGAAAGCGAGCGGGGCAGCTTCAGGACACAACAGCATCTGCAGAATGCTCTTCATGCGCCCAGGATAATGCAGGGGCTGAATAAAGGAGCCCCACCCTCTGTCAAACGAAACACAAAAATGACAGCAGTAGCTGCCATTCCTTCTTGAAGGCCTTTGAACAGGAAACACAATAGAAGCAGCTGCAACAAGCGAGGACCATGCTCCAACAACTTAGTAAAGGGCAGAGACCCTGCACGTAGACTACGCTCCTCCTCAAAAATGATTTGCTGCGCGTGCCAATCTGTTGAACCCATCGGAGCATGTTGACGCACCATGTATTGGTGGTCGTTCAAATCACTCATGGCCACTTCGCAAAATTTCGTCAGCGACTGGAACTGGTCAGGGCATTGCGGTAACTCCAACCGTGTGAGTATCAGCAGAGACAAAGTCACGCCGTATGTGTAACAACGACTGTCTTGAAAGTCAGAGGTGAAAGAACATCCTGCGTGAACAACGCTTGCATGCTACTTACGTCAAGGTCAACACCAGGGTGCGCCTGCATACTTCGAACAAATCATCGTAGGTGTATGCGTGACAGGATGGCTACTCGAAAAACCTACGGCGGCGCAAACAACACACACCAAACACTGGCCTCCTGCGCACGGTCAACAATTGAAGAGTAGAGTCAGTGCGAGAATCTTCACACGTGCGGGACTGGAGCATGGGTGCTTACCACCCCCCCCGTGGTTGGAAGATTGCACCAAATGTGGCGCGCGCGCGCGCGTGCGTGGCGTTTCAGAAACGAGATCTCTTTAAATGAAAGAGATCAATCTAGTGAAAAGAAGCTGAAACGCATCCTCTGTCTTGTTTCGACACACGAAGTGTGCATCTCCATGTTTTCTTTCTTTCCGTTGCTTTATAGTTAACGTTTCCTACTTTACGAGATACATCAGTGGTGTAGCATCACGCTTTGTAACAACACCAACCGAGTAGAAAAGAATAACTGTTTTACGAAAAAGTACATGGAACGAAATGAAAAGGAAACAGTCACGAAATAGCAAAGTCATGGAACATAAAGTATTTGGAACACATGAAAGATAATGGAAGTACAATTGCAAATGTAACAACCAGAAATAGCAATGGAAACCAGGCATGAAAAGGAATTGGAGAGAATGGAAAGGACGTGAAAAAGAAAGGAGTGAACATTGACAGGAGCGAAAAGGACATGTAAGGAGCGGAAAGGGCATGGAGATACAATTCGGAGAGACGGAAAGGAGGCTGGCATTTCTGGCTCCGGTTCAAGTTGCGTAGGTTTAAGGGTCTTGTTTTTTTAAGGGGCTGCTCGGCTTGTAAGGGCCGAGGCTGGTCTTTTCGAAAGGTCGCGTTTTGAAGTAGGTCGGCTTTGAGGCGCAGTCCTCTAGCTTTTGGTTTAGGGGTGCTACGGTTAAGCGAACGATCGGCCAGCGAGCGGCAATCAATTTTCGCAATCCCCGCAATTGCTTGTTTCACAAGCCGCGCAGAAGAGGAGGGGAGAGCGCAGCGGAGGCTGCCAGCGCTTACGGAATGGGTGCGCGGCTGGACCTTCTCCAATGGGCGCTTCGGATAGGAAAGAATGGACAGGAATGGACAAGACAGGGAGGGAAAATCAACAGAAATGGACATGAGAGGAAATGGGAAGGAAATAATTATAAACAAAGGAATGAATATGGAACGGAAAGGACATGAAAATGAATCCTAAGGAAATGGAAAGAGTGGAAAGGAATAGAAATTAAAGGACCGGATAACCCCACATGCTATGTTTTTCCCAAGGATGTGAGTTCAAATGTCCACACACATGTACCGTGCGCCCCTTGTATGGATGCGATTACAGAGCACCCAGATGCACAGAATGCAGCGCCTGCCACGACTTCGGCAACGGCATCGCCAAAGTGCTGCGCCTGCCACGATTTCGCAACGGCATTGCCAAAGTGCTGCGCCTGCCACGATTTCGCACACCCCCCGCCGCGCGCGCGACAACATCCTGTCCCTCTAGACAGCTGCCGAATGCGACCCCTGCCACACAAACACACACCCAGATGCACAGAATGCTGCGCCTGCCACGACTTCGGCAACGGCATCGCCAAAGTGCTGCGCCTGCCACGATTTCGCAACGGCATCGCCAAAGTGCTGCGCCTGCCACGATTTCGCACACCCCCCGCCGCGCGCGCGACAACATCCTGTCCCTCTAGACAGCTGCCGAATGCGACCCCTGCCACACAAACACACACCCAGATGCACAGAATGCTGCGCCTGCCACGACTTCGGCAACGGCATCGCCAAAGTGCTGCGCCTGCCACGATTTCGCAACGGCATCGCCAAAGTGCTGCGCCTGCCACGATTTCGCACGCCCCCCGCCGCGCGCGCGACAACATCCTGTCCCTCTAGACAGCTGCCGAATGCGACCCCTGCCACACAAACACACACCCAGATGCACAGAATGCTGCGCCTGCCACGACTTCGGCAACGGCATCGCCAAAGTGCTGCGCCTGCCACGATTTCGCAACGGCATCGCCAAAGTGCTGCGCCTGCCACGATTTCGCACACCCCCCGCCGCGCGCGCGACAACATCCTGTCCCTCTAGACAGCTGCCGAATGCGACCCCTGCCACACAAACACACACCCAGATGCACAGAATGCTGCGCCTGCCACGACTTCGGCAACGGCATCGCCAAAGTGCTGCGCCTGCCACGATTTCGCAACGGCATCGCCAAAGTGCTGCGCCTGCCACGATTTCGCACGCCCCCCGCCGCGCGCGCGACAACATCCTGTCCCTCTAGACAGCTGCCGAATGCGACCCCTGCCACACAAACACACACCCAGATGCACAGAATGCTGCGCCTGCCACGACTTCGGCAACGGCATCGCCAAAGTGCTGCGCCTGCCACGATTTCGCAACGGCATCGCCAAAGTGCTGCGCCTGCCACGATTTCGCACACCCCCCCGCCGCGCGCGCGACAACATCCTGTCCCTCTAGACAGCTGCCGAATGCGACCCCTGCCACACAAACACACACCCAGATGCACAGAATGCTGCGCCTGCCACGACTTCGGCAACGGCATCGCCAAAGTGCTGCGCCTGCCACGATTTCGCAACGGCATCGCCAAAGTGCTGCGCCTGCCACGATTTCGCACACCCCCCGCCGCGCGCGCGACAACATCCTGTCCCTCTAGACAGCTGCCGAATGCGACCCCTGCCACACAAACACACACCCAGATGCACAGAATGCTGCGCCTGCCACGACTTCGGCAACGGCATCGCCAAAGTGCTGCGCCTGCCACGATTTCGCAACGGCATCGCCAAAGTGCTGCGCCTGCCACGATTTCGCACGCCCCCCGCCGCGCGCGCGACAACATCCTGTCCCTCTAGACAGCTGCCGAATGCGACCCCTGCCACACAAACACACACCCAGATGCACAGAATGCTGCGCCTGCCACGACTTCGGCAACGGCATCGCCAAAGTGCTGCGCCTGCCACGTTTCGCAACGGCATCGCCAAAGTGCTGCGCCTGCCACGATTTCGCACGCCCCCCGCCGCGCGCGCGACAACATCCTGTCCCTCTAGACAGCTGCCGTGAGTCAGGGAGTGAGGTGAGTGAGTGAGTGAGTGAGTGAGTGAGTGAGTGAGTGAGTGAGTGAGTGAGTGAGTGAGTGAGTGAGTGAGTGAGTGAGTGAGTGAGAGTGAGTGTGAGTGTGAGTGTGAGTGTGAGTGAGTGAGTGAGTGAGTGAGTGAGTGAGTGAGTGAGTGAGTGAGTGAGTGAGTGAGTGAGTGAGTGAGTGAGTGAGTGAGTGAGTGAGTGAGTGAGTGTTGTGAGTGAGTGAGTGAGTGAGTGAGTGAGTGAGTGAGTGAGTGAGTGAGTGAGTGAGTGAGTGAGTGAGTGAGTGAGTGAGTGAGTGAGTGAGTGAGACGGAGACGAGCGGGAGAAGGAGGAGACGCGGCGCGCGGACGACGAGCGGAAAAAGTAAGAACCCCACACAAAGATGTGGGGAATAAATGGAAAGAAAAGCAAAGAAATAATTAAAGGACCGGATAACCCCACATGCTATGTTTTTCCCAAGGATGTGAGTTCAAATGTCCACACACATGTACCGTGCGCCCCTTGTATGGATGCGATTACAGAGCACCCAGATGCACAGAATGCAGCGCCTGCCACGACTTCGGCAACGGCATCCCAAAGTGCTGCGCCTGCCACGATTTCGCAACGGCATCGCCAAAGTGCTGCGCCTGCCACGATTTCGCAC